TGTGTGTGTGTGTGTGTGTGTGTGTGTGTGTGTGTGTGTGTGTGTGTTGCGTGTGTGCACGTATATATATATATATATATATATATATATATATATATATATATATATATATATATATATTATATACACACACAAACGCACACACACACACACACACACCACACACACACACACACACACACACACACACATATATATATTATATATATATATATATATATATATATATATATATATATATATATATATATATATATATATATATATATATATATATATATATATATATATATATATATATATATATATATATATATATATATATAATATATCTGTGTGTGCGCCTGTGTGTGTCTGTGTAGACATATATATATATTATATATATATATATATATATATATATATATATATATATATATATATACATATACATGTATATGTATATAAGAGGGAGAGAGAGGGACTGAGATTCTTTTATTCAAATAAACACGCAACACATTGTATGATTTATGCATTTCTTTGGTATTACTATTTGACATTTATTCATCATTATTTTCATCTGCTTCGTGTTTTCCAGATGTCTTTCTGGAGCGAGCCTGCAAACGTGGCTCCTAACAGCCTTCCCTCAACCAACCCCTATGGGAACTACACGGTGGTTGACACCGTGCCCAAGGAGATCCTCCATATGGTGGATTCTCACTGGTACCAGTTCCCCCCCATGAACCCCCTGTGGTACAGTCTTGTTGGGTTCTGGATGGTCATCATGGGCCTCCTGTCTGTCTTCGGAAACTTCGTTGTCCTCTGGGTGTTCATGACAACAAAGTCTCTCAGAAGCCCCGCCAACACGCTTGTCGTCAACCTGGCCCTCTCCGACTTCCTGATGATGTTCACGATGTTCCCTCCCATGGTCATCTCTTGCTACTGGCAGACCTGGACCCTTGGAGCTTTCTTCTGCGAGATCTATGCTTTCCTGGGTTCTCTGTTCGGCTGCGTGTCCATCTGGACCATGGTCTTCATCACCGCTGACCGATACAACGTCATCGTCAAGGGAGTGGCTGGGGATCCTCTTAGCAGCAAGGACGCTAGCCTGAGGATCGTCTTCACCTGGATCGTCTCCTTCGCCTGGTGCCTTCCCCCCTTCTTCGGGTGGAACCGCTATGTGCCTGAGGGTAACATGACCGCTTGCGGTACTGATTACCTGAGCGGAGATATGTTCTCTAACAGCTACCTCTACATCTACTCCATCTGGGTGTACATCTTCCCTCTCTTGTACATCATCTACAGCTACACCTTCATCGTCAAGGCCGTTGCCAACCACGAGAAGCAGATGCGCGAGCAGGCCAAGAAGATGGGAGTCAAGTCCCTCAGGAGTGATGAAGCCCAGAAGACCTCTGCTGAGTGCCGCCTGGCCAAGGTTGCTCTCATGACCGTCACCCTGTGGTTCATGGCATGGACCCCCTACTTCGTCATCAACTACGGAGGCATGCTGAACAAGTCCATGGTTACTCCTCTGTTCTCCATCTGGGGCTCCGTCTTCGCCAAGGCCAACGCCGTCTACAACCCCATCGTGTACGCCATCAGCCACCCCAAGTACCGAGCTGCTCTCGAGAAGAAGCTGCCCTTCCTTGCTTGCGCTACTGAGGGCAAGGATAACATCTCCGAGTCTGTCTCTACCAACGAGAAGGCCGAGAGTGCTTAAGATGTTCAGTTGTCAACAATGCAATGTTGCAATGAGCTTCCTTCAACTTGATTTCCTTATTAAATTTCCCTGCAATGACATTGCTGTTTTATTATCATTACCTTATTCATATATATAAAGGTTTTGAATATATATGCACACATAGACATATATAAACTATGCCTGTCCTTTATAGCTACAAAACTGAATTGCGTCGGTATCATATGACACCGCATGTGTACGCAATTCATAAGCAAACCCATTCTTCAACAAGATGGAGTTTGAAATAGGGAAAATAAAAGTTCAAATGATAGGAAGACATCGGCACTTTTGACAGGACGCTTAAAAGACGATCAGCATGGATTACATTCTGGTCAAAGTCAAAGATGATACTATGTTCGAATACAACTATTTCATTATGTCGGCTACATACACGATATCTGTCTATCTATCTAGCTACACACACACATATATATGTGCATAAGTGTGTGCATACATACACAAAGTTCTCTTCTCCTCTTTCACCCTTTATCTGTCTCTTTCCTCCTCTTTCCCCTTTTTTTCCTTTCCCTTTCTCGCTCTGCCACCTCATCTCACTCCCAAATCTACCTTAAATTCCTTCCTCCTTTCTCACTTTAAGCCCTACATCCTCTTCCTCTTTAACTTCCCTTCCCTTCCCCTCCCCTCCCCTCCCCTCCCGTCGTTCCTTCCTTTCTTTTTAATGTCCCACTTCCTCATCAATATGAGTGCGAAGGCGTAACGTGCAAAACACAAGCTGAAGTATGATACAGTAATAATAATAATGATAATATTAATAATTATGGTAATAATAATGATAATAATAATAATGATAATAATAATAATAACAATAATGGTAATAATAATAACGATAATGATGACAATAACAATAACTATAATAATCATGATAATGATAATAGTAATAATGATAATGATTGTAATAATAAAAATGATAATGATGATACGAATAGTAATGATCATGTTAATAATGATAATGGTATTATCAATGAAAATGATAATAATAATAATAATAATAAATGAAATAGTAATAATGATATAATAATACAATGACAATAGTATAATAATAACACTAACAACTATAATATAAACAATATGGATGATAATAATTATGATGATAACAAAATGATAATCATGGTAATGATAAATGATACCTTTGCAGTATGATTCGAATAGATCTGCAATATGATGCTCTTGTGCGCGTGAGTATGTATGATTCTTTATTATTTATATTGCCAAATATCATCCCATTTTACATCTAAAACAATCGACTTGAATTCTACAGTCACAAGTAGAATCGTGATATATATATATATATATATATATATATATATATATATATATATATATATATATATATATATATATATATATATATGTAACGCAAAAAATGAAAATGAAACTAGCCACAATAAGAATTGAAAATAAGCGTGACGGTTCGAACTCTTCACGAGTTTCACTTCAGACAGAAACCGAAATGGATAAGTAAGGATAAGTCCGATATGCGAAGCTGAGCCTTGCCCAGCCTGTGCCGACTAATGACTCGATCAACGTGTGTCAAGTGCTGACGCGACAGAGCTTTGTCCTTACCCACCGTGGTGCCCAGACACAGCAGTAACCTCCGAGCGACAATTGCAACTTCTCGCGCCTAGGCGGGGCGCGAACCGCCGACCCTTCGCATGAGAGTACGGCACGTTACCACTGTACTAGTCTGGAGGCTAAACCGACATGGATAAGGATAAGGATAAGTCCGATATGCGAAGCTGAGGCTCTCCCGGGCTATGAGGGAGCCCGGCCTGTGCCGACAAATGTCAACTCGATCAACGTGTGTCAGCAAATGCTGACGCGACAGAGCTCAGTCCTTACCCACCGTGGTGCCCAGACACAGCAGTAACCTCCGGGCAACAATCGCAACTTCTCGCTCCTGGGCGGGGCGCGAACCGCCGACCCTTCCGGTGAGAGGCCGACACGTTACCACTGTACTAACCTGGAGGCTAACCGAATTAGATACCAGGAGTTTATATAGTGATAGAGAGACAGAAAGAACAGGATCTGAATCAGGTCTCAGGGGGAGAGTCAAGGTCGAGGAGTCTGGGGAAGGCTTTGCTAACAAGTGATGAGGCAATATCATCTAACCCCCATTGGCAAGCACTCAAGTTAAAATTAGGCAATTTTCTTCTTAAGAGGGCTTCAATTATTTTTCTCTCGTACGAATTTGACGATGTACGAATTAATTTGGCGTCTTTCTAATTTAAATGATGTCTTTCGTCACGTGAATAAAACAAGCTTTAGATTCTCTGGCGTATCTGACATCACGTCTATGTTCATTAATTCTTTTTTTCAAAAGTTCTACCGGTTTCGCCTATGTAAGATTTCGGGCAATCCTTGCAAGGAATCGTGTAAATACCTGGATAGGTATCAAAAGCACTGCCTGCTAGTTATATTATGCCTAATCAAAGTATTGCGCAACGTGTTCGGGTAAGTAAAAACGATGTCAATGCCAGCTCCTTTAAAAATACGGCGTTTTTCATCGAGGGACGGGTAGTAAGGAATAATTAAGAGATTTTTGGCACTGTCCTGTTGCATCTTACGGGAATGATTATAAAATTTCCATTTCGCCGATGAATGTGCCTGATTTAAGAAAAAACGAGGATATACTAATTTTGAAAACGTCTCAAAAATAATGTCAAGCTCACGATTGATGAATTCGTAATCGCAAATCGTATAAACCCTCAGGAACATTGACGAGACAACTGATTTCTTAATATAAAGCGGGTGATTCGAGAAAAAATGAAGATAATTAGCGGTGTGGGTGGGCTTACGATAAACTGAAAATTTAAGCGAGCCATGTACATTGTATAAAAGAACGTGGAGAAAACGTAATTTGCCTGCTGAGTCTTTCCATTCTACTTTAGAGTTAACAGTACGAGCGATGTTATTTAGTCTATTGAGAAAATCGAAATCTGAACGGTTCATTTGCCACATTCTGTCTATACAAACTTCAAAATTCTTTCCTGGTATCCATTTCGGTTTTTGTTGAAGAGTGTGTGTATAAATACATACATACATATTGATACATATACACACATATGTATATATATGTATGTATATGCACAGATACACATAACACAGAAATAAGAATATATGCATGCGTTCTTGGTTGTGGCCAAAATCTTACATCAGTTCGCGATGTTAAGAATTTTACATTGAGTATTTTAGAATCATATATGTACTAGTAAGAAACTCGATGAAAAGAAGGATACTGAAATAGAAAACTTTGCTGGGATGTATTTTCATACTGGTTCACCGAATACAAGGGTAAGAGGAGAGAGAGTTACCTGACATACATTTTCCAAAGTTCTAAGCCAAAAACATCACGCACGGACCGTGTTCCTCTTTGTCTCAAGCAGATTCTGCTTTCTCGGAGGTTTCGACCGTGGAAACAGAACCAACTTCAGAAGCCTTGTCTCCTTCGCCGGTGCAAACAAGGCAAGGCAGCTTCTTCTCGAGGGCAGCTCGGTACTTGGGGTGGCTGATGGCGTACACGATGGGGTTGTAGACGGCGTTGGCCTTGGCGAAGACGGAGCCCCAGATGGAGAACAGAGGAGTAACCATGGGCTTGTTGAACATACCTCCCCAGTTGATGATGAAGTAGGGGGTCCAGGCCATGAACCACAGGGTGACGGTCATGAGAGCAACCTTGGCCAGGCGGCATTCAGCAGAAGTTTTCTGATTTTCCTCATTTCTAAGAGACTTGACTCCCATCTTCTTGGCTTGTTCCCGCATGGCCTTCTCGTGGGCAGCAACAGCCTTGACGATGAAGGTGTAGCTGTAGATGATGTATGCGAGAGGAAAGAGGTACACCCATATGGAATAGACGTACAAGTAGCTCTTTGAAAGCTGAGTTTCTGTCAAGTAGTCCGTGCCACAAGCGGTCAAGTTACCCTCAGGTACGTAACGGTTCCAGCCAAAGAAGGGGGGAAGGCACCAGGCAATAGAGGCGACCCAGGTACCCGCAATCCTCAACATGGATCCACCTGATGTTAGTGGTTCAGCAGACACTCCCTTCACAATGACGTTATAGCGATCAGCGGTAATCCACACCATGGTCCAGATGGAAACGCATCCGAACAGAGAGCCCAGGAATCCGTAAATCTCACAGAAGAGAGCTCCTAGTGTCCAGGTCTGCCAGTAACACGAAACGACCATAGGTGGAAACATCGTGAACATCATCAGGAAGTCGGAGAGGGCCAAGTTGACGACCAGGAGGTTAGCAGGCGTTCGGAGGGACTTGGTGTTCATGAAGACCCAGATGACGACGAAGTTTCCGGCCAGGGAGAGGGACCCCATGACCACGATCCAGAACCCAACCAGACTGTACCAGAGAGGGTTCATGGGAGGGAACTGGTACCAATGCTCATGGACCATGTGGAGGATCTCCTTGGCCGCAGTGTCAACCACTGTGTAGTTCCCATAGGGGTTGGTGGATGGTATGGGATTGTCTTCCATTTCTTGATTGTT